CTAATAATAAAGTGCATAGTGATGTCTGCCTATGAATCATGTAATGTCTATTAAACATCTTGGAGACTCAGACTTTGGAAGCTCTTAAATTAAAAATTAGTTTTGTTTGCAAAAAAAAAAATAATTCATTTTATTATGCATTATTTCATTTTTTTTAAAATTGATCTTGCATTTTTATGGTATATTGTAAACTACCCTTTTGGACTATTTAACATATCTTCTGGAGAGTTTTCATATAAAAAAATATTTAAATATGTTGAAATTCATAAGATTTGATCTGTATTTTCATCCATCACCATTGATGAAAAAAAATACAGATCAAATCATATGAATTCCAAACAATTATTATTTTTTTTTTTTTTTAAATTGAAATTCATTAAATTTGATCTGTATTTTTTTTTCTTCCATACCCATGTTAAAAGTTGAAGATGAATTAAAATGCAAAGTTATTTGATGTTTTATAATCAAGCATTTTTTTTGTTTTTTTATCACCATTGATGAAAAAAAATACAGATCAAATCATATGAATTCCAAACAATTATTATTTTTTTTTTTTTTAAATTGAAATTCATTAAATTTGATCTGTATTTTTTTTTCATCCATCACCATGTTAAAAGTTGAAGATGAAGTAAAATGCAAAGTTCATTGATGTTTTATAATCAAGCAGTTTTTTTGTTATTTATTAACAGAAAAAAATAACCCAGTGGACATTTCAGATTATGATTTTAAGTTTTAGCAAAACTCATGCATCTTAAAAGTAGCAGTGTAGCATAAATCCATACAATTATATAGATCCACAGAATATTCTCTTTCCTAACAATTTAGTTTATTATGACATGAGCAGCTGAACAGAACGGCAACATTTTTCTTGCATAGAAGCTGTTTTATAGAGAAAACAGAACAAAATTATGTTGGAAGTTTTGCTTGCTCAATAAATAAAATTAAAAGCACTGTAAAAAAAAATGTTAGTAAATGACGTTTTTTTTTAACTTTGATAAAGTCAAAGCTATAAACTGCAAGCTGGTGCAAAAATGACATGGCATTTTCATTTTCAGAAAGATATTTTTTTAATTGCAGTAGTTCATATAGCAGGATCAAAATTCTACATAAATTATTTAACATTACCACAAGATGGAAGCATTGCCAAAACAGACAAAACATGCAATGTGTCAATAAGAGATCTACATGACAATAAACTTATGACAGCAATGGTAAATTCTTGTGTTGCCATGAATGAAATGAAAGTGAAGTAGCTTGATTAATTAATCATCCATGTATGAATGGAAGGACATGCTCATTTGTGAGATTAACTAGGCTGGGAGTTACTGAATCAAAATGTTTTACAATACTTAATGAAGAATGAGATCTGACATAATCTGTTATTTTTTTTTTTATTTGAATTATTATTTAATCTTGTTGTAACTGCCACTCAGATAACTCTAACAAATGAACAACTATTTGTTTGGTTTTTTACTAGGTCAGATACAAGTAAATAAGAAAAACTCATGAGATTGTTGAAAATAAGCAGAACAAGATATTTTTTTATCAGAATAAAGTCAACGTCGATTCATAACTCTATAAAATAATTTAAAAATATAGTTTAAAATCATTTTTGATTAAGGACTTCAGTCAAAACCTAAATGATATTCCCTGATACACACATTAAGCAAATCATATTTGCTTTATAATATGTAGCGTTGTATTATGCTTTTTCTTTTATCAAATAAAAAAAAAATCTGCTGTCACCAATGATTTGAGATTTTTATCTTTATTAATATTCATGACTATTTTTAGATGGAAAATTCTATTAATCTGAGTGTGCGTAAAAATCTTCTCACAAATTCATGATTTTTTCAAATTGTTCTATTTTTTACGCATTGTTTTTATTAACGTACATATTTAATGATTTATAATTATGGCCTTACACTAAAATAATAATAGCATTACTTACAAAATTGTCTTAAGTTTTTACAGTTATGCAATGATCATTTTTACTTTAAAAGTTTTTGTTCTTTCCATTACCAAAATAATAATATATTGCACAATTTTTTAAGGACAACACAGTAGGCTAGATATGCCTATGTATATACATATTTTATATTTTTTACTTTAAAAGTTTTTGTTCTTTCCATTACCAAAATAATAATATATTGCACAATTTTTTAAGGACAACACAGTAGGCTAGATATGCCTATGTATATACATATTTTATATATATATATATATATATATATATATATATATATATATATATATATATATATATAATTGTTAACACTTGGAAGGAAAGGACCTTATTAATCTTAACTACCAAATTTATTAATCCAATCATCACTAATTTTTTCTATTTTACTGGAACTAAATCAGACACAACAGATAGTCAAATATACTTACATAATTATTATGGCACTGTTTTAATAATACATATTGAAATATTCAAACCATCTTAGCATTTCAAAATTGAGAACTATTCTTTTAAATATACAAATGTTAGATGAGAAATAAGTAAAACTGAATAAAGTGGCTGAATCCCTTTGATGTTTCTACTTTCTTCCAAAGTTTTGATGACTGCTGATGACCTCCCATTAAATAATCAGAAACATTCAGACTTTATCTGACACAGAAAAATCACACATTAAGTGTAACATTTACTTGACATATGGATTCCCCTCAGGTGATAGATTGTGTCATTTTAAATGCAAAACACTAACCAAGCTTTGTGTTAGAAAGTATGCAACTATGGCACAATAATACACATAAATATTATATATAAATATAATTACATTCAGAAACTTTTCTGCTAATTGAGAAGTAAGTTTATATAATAGAAAGAAAAAAACAATACAAAGGATTATTGTTATGCCACAGGGATTTTCCTATTAACAATTTATTGAATGAAGTTTTTATGAACATTTTTCTTTTAAAATAAACAGTATCTTCTTATAAGATTCTAAGAACAATTTAATGAAACATGTAAATAAAAGTTATGCAAAAAGAAAAACTACCAGTAATTAACTTTTATCTCAAAGGTATGGTCTACAGTTTCTGAAATAATTTAGCAGCAAAGATGCCAAGTTTATTTATTCTCTATTCATCAAATGTGGAATTTTTTAAGAATGAGAGAAACAAAATGAACAAATTTCTTCTTCTTCTTCTATATCTTAAGGGCCCACGATCAATTTATTGATCATTTTGGCTCCTATGCATGTAGATGGGATAATTTTAAGTTAATGATAACGCTCATGAATAATAAAATCATGCACAGCATCTATGATTAATTAATACAATAATTAGAACTCCAAGTCTTGAGTAATTTTTATTTATCCTACATATAGGTCGGAATTAAAGGTAAATACACATTGTAGTTCTCTATTAGTGTAGTTTAAATTTAATCTTAATGACTTTGGAATACAGTAATAATGTTTGACCATGCAGCATTAATTATCTAGTAATTTATTTAGTGATAGTATTATGACTCTCTTTTATTTTTTTTTTAAATAAATAACTTGAAGCTAACAAAAACAGTATTTAAATTTATGCATGAGCAGACACAACCTTTTTTTATATAGATTTTATGACTAAAAACCATTAAGTTTTCTACAACTCACAGTAAAGTATTGTCATGTTCAATCTTTAACTTAAAGTAAAATAATAGTATGCAATTTTACTTGCTAAAAAAAAAAATTAATCATTGTCATTGACACTTCAAATTATGTTCTTTCTTTAAATTAATCCTACAACTTTTTTAAAGTGATGAACATGAAAAAAAAAATCATGCTTAAAAGATGTATTCCTTTTTATTTAATGACTTATTTTTTTAGCTGTATTTTAAATAATTCTTGTGAAAATATACATAAAAAGCAAATGCATAAGTGGAGATGAAAATTGAATCTTTCAAGATATTTTTTTGAGCTATTCAATAATGAAAAATATATCTTTTGGTAAGCCAGACAAAAGTTGCACTGGTCAAAGAAGCTGCATTTCAACGTTGAAATATAAAAAATCAAAACTGTAAAACATACCATAATCATGAGTTTGTAATATGTTAAATAAGTGAAGATTTTTTTAATAAAATAAGCACACAAAAAATATTGACTTATCTTACAACACTCACAATAATTGGTCTATGTACAGCTGCAGTTTTATAAATGATATGGTCTCTGAACTTTTATAATCTCTTACAAAAATTAAAATTCCTTCAATAAATTAATTCTGTAACGAAAAATTTCTGCCAAATAAGACCTGACTGATGCATTACTATTTTTAAAGGACGAAGTAGCATATGGCTCATATTCCAATCAAAGTACATAAGAGAGACGGTGAAACTGGGCTAATTTATAACAACAACAAAAAATTTACTAAAAATGAAATCCTTTGACAGAATTCCCACAAGTGTACCTGTGAATTTAAAGGCACTCAAATAAATGTGTTGCGGCATCAACCTAGACAGGCTTAATAGCGATGACTGAAATGATGGCGGGGATGGTTGAGAAAAGTAATGTCGAGAAATGAAAATAAATCAATGCACTACTGAAAGCCCAATATAAGGGATGGTCAGCATCTTTATGTGAATGTGGTCAAGTGACGACTCATTGGGCTCTTTTAATATAGTTTTTTTTTTTAAACTGTCGTACATCTCTTTGTTCATTTGAACAGGTGTGAAGTTAGCAACCGGATGATTAAAACTATATTTCAAAAAGCCTTATGAAATTAAAAGGCATTATCATCCCATTTTTACAAAACCTTAAAGTTTGCAGAATAACAAAACTATTCAATTTATTTTTAGTTATCTTATTATCATATTACCAGAAATATGAATCAAAAGTTTTTATTAATAATACTGAGAAAGTATGTGCATGTTGCACTAAAAACAATTAGGATGATAAATTAAAGAACATTTTATGTATTATCTAAAAAAGTTTTTCAAAGCACAGATAACTAGCAATATATCAACTTAATAGAAAATACTATCCATATTGATATAAGATCTTTGTCTGACCCCTCAAATAAAAAAGTGAAATAAGTGTTGATACAATGTATGGGAAAAAATTTCAAACCAACCCTGACAATATAAGTGAAACATTATACTTAGTCTTGTTATATATAAAACAATGCATGATAATGACCTTTTCAGCTGAAAGCTGGCCAGCTAGGCTAAATGTTGAACAATCTCTCCTCAGGAATGGTTGAGATTTGGTGGACAGTTGTATGTTTCAAACTTTTCAGTTCTGTACCTAATTAAACTTTAACCACCAATTGTATGCAGGTTAAGTCATATAAAATTCTTCAGGGCAGCGTTTATCTATTCATCACATCACAATGACAGAATGTGGACGAGTACAATTGACAGATGAAAACATAAAAAATTAATTTAAAATTCTTATTTATACTCTCTTCTCAGTTAGAAAGCAATATTTTGGGTACTTTTGTCAGTCTTTGGTTAGTCATCACAGGTGATAAATAATTTCATAAAATGTTTTTAAAATACATAGGTGTTTTCTTCTACAGCAGTTTAGAGGGAGAAAACACATTTTTTCAACTGCTAATCATAAAAAATAATAGGCAGCTTTTGTGGAAATAACTAGCCAAAAAATATTCTCAGAATTATGATTATTATTTTGCTTCCAACAAAGTGCAGAAAAGAAAATATATCCTATTTATATGGAAGGAAGGAAAAAAAATCCCATAGTATTTTAATTCAATCTCTTGATATAAATCAAATAAAAGTTAACTTTTTTCTTCTAATTTTCTTTCAAGCAATTGAAACTCATGCTTCACTATCTGCAGTCAACAGACACTAAGACTCTGCAAACCAAACAGAGATCTTTACAAGTATTTTAGACTTATTTTCCTTCTCTATAAAATCAAAAATTGTGGCAAACCTAAATTTGTTTACTGTAAAAACTTGTAATGAAGTTGTATTTTATTTACTCCAGCAGGGGCTGTAGCAAATATCTTTGGCGACCAGTGGCGTAGCTAGGTATTTGGGAGGGATTTGGGGGACCAGGGGGCTTGGCCTCTTTAGGGGCCACTGCATTTTGACATTCTACATTATTTAATGTAAAAAAAATTTCGGACACGCCTTTGGGGGCCCCCCTCAAGTAGGGGCCAGGGGGGACTTTCGAATTTGGACCCCCCCCTTCCCCTCTCCTAGCTACACCACTGTTGGCGACAGATATTCTGGGACACTCTAACTGAAACAGTGACCTAAACTATAAAGACCTGTACATAACATTATTTTAAAAAAAAAAAATTAAATGCTGAAATACTTTGAAAGACCAGCAACTAAAGTTTAACTACTGACAAGGATCATGGAGTGCCTCTTAGAAGAAAAAAATGTTTCTAATTGTAAAGCTGCCAGGATCCCATCTGTGGAGTAGCTTGATGTAGGTGGAGGAGAGAAAACTATATACAAACATGCACAAAACAAAGCTGCAAAAGACAGCTGGGTTACCACAGTAAACACGTTAGTATAAATCAAATTGAACAATTAATAGTTGTGTTGTTTTTTTAAAGTGTTTTTTTTTATAAAATATATTCAGCAAACTATATACACGTTGTACAAATGGCATTCGATTTTATTTAGGAAACAAATAGTAAATATGGCTGTGTTAGGAACACTAGAACAAAGTAGGACTCAATTCAAATCATGATTTAAAACATTTTAAGTGGTTCAATTTAATGACTTCCAATAGATAAATGGCTAAATAATGGCTAAAGTAAGAATGAATCCATGTTCAATGTTAAGAACTTTTATGTTAAACCATAATATGCATTAAATAAGAAATAATAATCTTTATAAATTAGGTGGGAATGTAATAATACTTAAACACAAATTTCATATACAATTTTTATTATGTTAATTCATAAAGATTTTGAAAAATTAATTGAACTCATCATTAAAACCCCTTAAGATCACTTATCCCTTGAACTTATCAATATATTAGCCCAAGATTTAATAAGTCTCACATAATAAATTAGCAGGAGATTTGAGTCTCATGTAAAAAACCTTAGTAGAAGGGAAATCTTACCTTTTTTTTTTTGTTATTAGAAACAATTATTTTTCTACAATGAGATTTTAATTTTTAACAAGCACTTTGAAGCTATTAATCAATATAGTTTTTAGGTTGCAACATCTCCATATTCCCTGTTCCATTCTTCATATCGGCCTAAGGATTCTAAAGGAACGCTACGACGAATACGTTTTAGAGATTCTCGAAAATCTGTAGCCTGAATGGGGCGCACCTGTTAATTTAAAGTAATAAATATTTTAATAACTAACACTCAAAAGTACATTTTAATATTAAAATAAGAGATCATGAGGGAAAAAACCTACAAAATGAATCCACGGTTTATATAATTATATAATCTCAAATTATAAGAGTAAATTTAAAAAATATTGAACGATTCAGAAAGTGATAAATGTTATGCTGAATAAATAATCTTAAACTTAAAGTGATTAAATACAGGAGTTCAGGCGTTCTCTTGGCAGGTGGGAAGATTTTTACAGTACAGTTGTTTTTTAACATCCAAAACCAACTTCATTATTTAAAAATATGCAGCACTTTTGGAAATCATAATATAGACTTTTATTGAATTAAAGAAAAAACTACAAAAACATAGCTCCAAATATATGTACCTTGTTAGCATCCATGGACTTCACTTCATGAAGACTTAATTCTCGTATAGGCCCAAGGGCTGCATCTTTAGCCAAAGCATTCAGATCACTTCCAGAATAACCTTCAGTTTGTCTAAAATACCAAAGTACCTACTTATAAGCTTAAAACTACTTGTAAAACCATAACCAACTTCACAATCAATAAACCACTTATCAATAATGTATAAATGGACAGAATTATATATAAATAGTACTTACTTTGCCAAATTATCCAGTTCTTTCTGGGAAAGAGGGTTACCCTGCTTAGATAAGAGGTGAGAGAGCATCACTCGTCTAGTCATTAAGTCTGGCATAGTTACATAAACTCGTTTAGGGAAACGTCTGAAAAAAAATATGGATTCATTCTAGTAACAAATGACTGATAGGATTGAAAAAGAAACTTTCAGGTTGTTTTTTTGCATGTTCATATATTGAAGGATATTTAGGGATTTATATTTGTAACTTCTCAACTCATTATTCAAAATTAAATTTTAAGTTAGTTACTTTTTAAAACTTTTCATTTAAAAAAAAAAATAAAGTAAAAAAATACAGCTACCTTAAAACAGCATCATCCAGTTCCTGTGGGCGATTAGTTGCACCCATTACTAGTATTTTATCCTCAGAATTGGAGGAAACCTTAAATGAAGAAAAACACCTCAGAAAACATCCTTTCTATGACATAATATAGTTATTTTGCAATTTTATTTAAGATGGCCTGAAAGACAGCATGTTTGAAAATACCTATTGACTGAATTACTTATAATAAAATAATATTAGCCTTGACAATTTTTGCCCACAGAGATAAAAACCATCTTTAACTCCTCTTGAAAAAAAAATTAATGAATAAAAGTCAAAATACAGATGACACAAAAGTTTCTGTATATTAAAAGGTCAAAACACAGATGACACAAAAGTTACAGTATATTTCAAGGTCACAGCAAAGATTACACAAAAGTTAGTGTATAAATAAAAGTCAAAACACAGATGACACAAAAGTTACTGTGTGTGTGCATGTATGTATGTATGTATGTATGTGTATGTATATATATATATATATATATATATATATATATATATATATATATATATATATGTATGTGTGTGTATATATATATATATATATATATGTGTGTATATATATTATATATATATGTATGTGTATATATATATATATATATATATATATATATATATAATATATGTATATATATATATATATATAAAAATATATAAAAAAAACAAAACACAGATAACACAAAAAAAACAGAATATATAAAAGACACAGAAAAGATTACACAAAAGATAGTGTATATATAAAAGACAAAACACAGATGACACAAAAGTTACTGTGTGTGTGTATGTATGTATGTATGTATGTATGTGTATATATATATATATATATATATATATATATATATATATATATATAAATATAAATATGTATGTGTGTGTATATATATATATAAATATGTATGTGTGTATATATATTATATAAATATGTATGTGTATATATATATGTATGTATATATATATATGTATATAATATAGGTGTATGCATATACATATATAAAAATCCTTTCAATTCAAATTTCCTATTTTAAAAGCTTGATCACATAATTTACGGGCTGAAATAAAAGTGTCAAACCAAATCACCAGAAACTGAGTCATTGATTACTTACACCATCAAACTGAACAAGAAACTCAGTTTTCAATCTCCTACTTGCATCATTTTCTCCTTCTCTCCTCTCACACAACAATGAGTCGATTTCATCTGGGAAAGATGCAATAGTATGTGTGTAATATATTCAACTCTGGTGAGAGAATTAAATAGAATCAGCTGATAGAAAAAGTATTGGTTATTTAATGAATGTTTATGTTTTTCACTCACCTATAAATATAATAGAAGGCTGAAGCTGTCTGGCAGCTGTGAATAATGTTCGCACTAGCTTTTCTCCTTCTCCAACCTGTAGATAGATAAATATTTCAATATCTCACAAAAATGTATGTGATTCCAGGAGAGATCATTTGAATAAGATGCTATTCAATTTCATTTGAAATTAATAATTTAAAAAAATCAATGTTGCTAATGTATTGCCAAATATTGAAATGCAAAATATAAAGAATAATAATGACCCCATAATTGCTTTTGAACTTTTTCTCAAGACTGTTGTATTCATTTCTGAATTTAAAATGTAAATAGTATTGAAAAAATGATTATTTTATAAATACCTGTTCTTATTAATACTACAAAAAATCTAACATTTAACTTTGATTAAACAATAAGAATGATTCTTCTCACCCATTTTGAAGTAAGACTTGAAGCACTTATGTTGAAGAAAACTGATTTAGATTCATAGGCAACTGCTTTAGCCTGAAACAAACATAAAATATTTAGTGTGTAAGTGTTCGTTTTCCTAATTACCATTTTCCTAATTACTTTTGAATGCTTGATAGGAATCAATAAATCATGCCTATAAATCACCTTTAAAACACTATATATATTTTATAATAACTTGTTACCAAAAGTGTTTTGCCATTTCCTGGAGGACCAAACAATAAGAGACCTCTAGCAGGCGCCCTCAGACCAGTAAATAACTGAGAGAAAAGAAGGAAAAGGAAATATTAGTACAAATTCAAAATGTAGCAGTGTATGCCAAGTGTTATGCCAAACTAAAAACTGACATTTGAGGTTAGAATAAGAAGTTAGTTTGAAACTACCATGACTTTACTTACCTCTGGTCGTAGAGCTGGTAATATTACTATTTCTTGTAAGGCTTGTTTTGCAGTGTCTTGACCAGCTGCCAATCAGAAAAATATACTTTATACTGGAGTGAGCAGGGATGTGCAGAGGAGTTTGTTTATCCCAAAGATCTGTCACAATACTAATCATCACACAACCCAAAAAGTTAAATCCATATAGCACTGATATGACAAATTTCACTTCTTATCTTAAAAAAACAATTGTTGCAAAATTATTCTTAATTTATTGTATTTTAACTTAACGAAATCTACCAGAAATAAAAGCACTAATAACATGAAATATTTGTAAACACTAGCAAATTACCTATGTCTGAAAATAGAATCTCTTGTCCAGTGTCAATAATTTCCCCAAGAATAACATCTGCCAATTTTTTGTCAACATTTTTCAATTTAACATTTGAAAGATCTCTTTGATTTGTCAGGCCACGGATCTGAGTGTTTTAAAGAAAATGTGTAACAACATGATGAAATCAATCAATTAGATCACATTTTATATTTAAGTTTCAAACATTTTTTTTTTTTTAAATTTCAGACTGATAACAAAAGTTTTCACTGCTGTTTGATTTTTCTGAGCTGAGAGTAAAATAATCAAATTTTTCAATGTTTTTTTTTAAAACTATAGTTTAAATAATCTATTAAACCAAAAAACATTAATGCAGATCAATGTCAGATTTATTATAAAATCAACTTCATAAATCAACTTTTAAGCAAAATACGTTCAATAGCAAAAACGCATCGATCCCATGTTTGTTTAAACACTAATGACTTCTGTTTAGTAAATATCAAGATAAAAATTTAATGCACCCCTCTCTTACACACTCCCTTTTAAACATCCCATGATAAAATAACCTTCATATATGGCAGGGGTCCTCAAACTAGATTTGGCTCATTAGGGGTCCTTAACCCAGGCCAACGGCCAACCCACAGGTACCCAGGGGGCAGTAACAAATATGGAACAGATTTTTAGTGCAATTAGGGTAACATACATCAGGCTGAGATGTTTGTCTCATGTGTGTTGGTCGCCGCCGTGATCCTGGAGATGATCCAGGAGTTGATGATGTAGATGACTTTCTTTCTCGACCACCTGCACTTCCTCCTCGAGGTATATTTATGGCACCGCTTGTTCTTGACACAGCCATGGGCATATTCTTCAATTTGCTTGATTTATGTGAAACTGTGATATAGTTTTTTTTTGTTTTTTTAATGGTTCAATTGCATTTAACATGCATTGGTTGATAGATTTTTAACTCATTCTAACCTTAATGGTATGGTAATCAAAAGAAAAAAAGTTTGTAAAAAGTTTCCACTATCTTCTTAATATGTTTAACTGCCTACTTTCAAATCAATTTAAAATTGTTTTATTATAATATATATTTTAATCTTAACTAAAATGTACAATATTTTTTAAGATAATTTATTTTTCAGTTTTACTTAGAAAAACTCAATAAGATGCTATTATAAATTTAATCATAGTAAAATATGTTTACTATTAACAAAACCAAAAACAATTTTAAAAAAACAAGAAATTACAGGTTTTTTTTAAAATAATATTTTTCTAAATAAATAAATTATGAAATCTTAATAAAGATTTGTTCTGAATCCTGGACTTTTCTTCATTAATTTTGTTGCTTATTGTAAAAAAAAAAAAAAACTACAAAAAAAACACAAAAAAAAAAAAAAAAAAAAAAAAAAAAAAAAAAAAAAGAAAAAAAACAAAACAAAAAAAAAAAAAAACAAAATAATATTTTTCTAAATAAATAAATTATGAAATCTTAATAAAGATTTGTTCTGAATCCTGGACTTTTCTTCATTAATTTTGTTGCTTATTGTAAAAAAAAAAAAAAACTACTATGAAAACACTAAACAAATACAAAAATGTGCAGGGAACAAAAAAGAATGGGAAAACACCAAACTAAAAGAAAGAGACTCCAAAAGTACACTGAAAAGACCCTAGATGACTACCAATGCGGATTCAAAATAGATCGCTCATCAAATTTTCACTATCAGATGCCAATTAGAGAAATATTACAAATATGTAATATATAATATTCCAGTGCATCAACTCTATGTGTACTATATAATGGCTACCATCAGCATCAAAGGAAACACCTTTATAAGACATTGCAGGAATTGGCACACCCAATAAATGTACAAGACTGACACATAAAACATTAAGCAACCCAAAAAGCAAAATCAAGGTTCAAGGTGAATATTCAAGGGAATTTCAGATTAGATGAGACCTAAGACAAGAAGACTCACTATCTTGTATTTTGTTTAACCAAACATAGAGAGTTACAAAGAGTATGCATATTGACACCAGAGGACCAATCTCAGGATGCTTTCTAAGAAAGACTCAAGGCCCACAACCAATAGACACTCTATACAACCAACCCCTTCAGTACCTTGCATATGCCAATAATATGGCAATGTTATAAAAAAAGGATAAAGACATCCCAAAAACTTTTTTTGAATTAGAAACCACACCATTCAAATATTTAGAATCCTAAATTAAATGAAAGGAATGACTTACCAACAAAAACAAAAGAAATACTACCCGCAGGGAGCAGGGCATTCTTCAGTAGTCACAAAATATTAAAAAGTAAAAACATCACAAGAAAAACAATTAAAACTATGTATAAATTAGGAGAAAAGTCTTATGGAAAATATATGGACCAACAAGTAGCATAAATAAAAAGGGGCAGTCTGCATCAGACGGGACACCTAAAAATGAAAGAAGGGTGAAACCTCAGAGGCAATCGGCTCAAAGGCAGACCTAGGCTTAGATGGATAGATGATGTAGAAATTATAGACAATGTAGAAACAGATCTACTGCAGCTTGGAATCCAAGCATGGCAAATAAAATCATCAGTTAGGTCTGAGTAGAAGAAAGTGTTGGAGCAGGCCAAAGCACAACATGGGCTGTAGGGCCACATGGATGGATGGATATTATTGCACACAAAAATAAACGAAAATTTGATTTTTAATACATCTCTTTTTTTCCCAATAACCCTTTCTATACATATCCATAAGTAATATTCACTCAAGGCTACTTATTCCAATACAATGTTTGAGTTAATATATTTTGAATAAATAAAAAATGTGTTTAATCACAACATATATTTTTACATATACTTGTAATAAAAATCCTTTTAAATTGTATTAGTAAAATAATTCTGTTCTGTTTATAAGGACGCTAACAAATTAAATATTTTCATTGTTATATGTTTCAAAAATACAGAAAATTAGGACTTTTATATATTGTATTAGAGCTAGATATATTACATCTAGGAAGAAAGAGGCTACCAGACAAAACTACCTAGCAGGATGCCTGATAATTCATTTAGAAATATGGTTTGTAATTAAACTATATAAAAGGGTTTGTATCTTGATAACAATGGTAAAATTGAGATGCAGCAATAACAGATTAAATAACATACCTGGAGAAATATCACTGGTTAATTTGGTTGGATTAAACCCAGCGCAAAAGCTGGGAACTTTGCTGCAGGAAGGCAATTGTCTTAAATCCACATTATTTCTAGCTAACACAGGGGGAACAACTTTTGATGGGGACAGAGTCCTGTGATCAACACCAGTGGTGGCATTTTGTTCAGAGTGTGTAACTTTAACATCTGGACAGTCCAACTTCATTTTTTCTATTACCTTCTCTAATTATAACAATAAAAAAATGAAAATGAAAAGTACTTGCAGCAAACTAAGATTGTATCACTTCCCAAAACAAATTACCTTTGTGATATTAACAACAGAATTTAAAAGTGCATTATAAAAAAATTATTTTAAAAAAACAAAACATTATTTTTTTGCTTGGATTTTATTAAATTATAATGACCCAACAGACATGGCTGAAAAGTCATATGGCATAATTTTTGGCCCCAAAAAAACATTAAAAAATCAGTATATTATATAGACCAAAACAAACAAAAAGTATTAAAGGTGCACACATTTAACAAATTAAAAAAGTGATAAAACATCTATATCTTGTGTAAAAATATTTGCTATCAATGTCCTGTTGAAATAATGGGATAAAAGGTTGCCAATTTCAAAATAGATTTTTTATATGACTTAAAAGAATGAATAAATAACTCTGGATAACATGGCTTATTAAACAATAAAACTGCATTTTTTTATCCTTACAATTTATTATTATTCATTCCATATATTTGAGTGTAAACATAGCTCACTTTATGGAATCGAAATAAAGAGAGTTAATTTGCAATGACTAATTTAGTTTCTTTAACCATAATTATTTCAATAGAAGTTTGCAGGCACTACAATCAATTTATAATTAGTTTACATTTACTAAGGAAATAAAAATGTATCCATACAACATGCTGCAGATTTCATGAATTCACAAATTACCCTCTGCGTAACTTGACAAACAATACTCCCATATTTTGTTAATACATATTGAAAAAATGTGATTAGAGGATTTAAAACTATATAGTTAAGTAATATATAGTACACCTAGCATGTATGTACCTTATGGGTCTTTTAAAACTTGAAAAAACATGAACGTTTTATACATATTTGGAAATATTTTAAGACTTATTCTTTAATTTTGAATATTAATAAGTAGTATGACTATTAAGGAACTCAATATGACAATTTTATGGATTAAAAGCCGATTTTCAAAATACAAAAGCAAAAAAACACAAGCAAGGCACAGCTAAGTTTATATACAAGAAATGTACACTCACCTAAAACATCAAGTCTATCTTTAACCATGATTAGATTTGTTTCCATTTTGTCTTTCAGCCGCCTTGCCCGATCAAATGTCTCACCTGTGTATTAAAATAAAAAACTAGACACATCACTGCATGTTGAATGGTTATTAAAACTATGTCAGCATACACTAATTAATGCCCGCATCCGTTTGTTAGCTTCTACTAGGGTATTATACAAAATTACAGTTTTCTTTAGTTATATTTGAAATCCATCCTTAAAACTCTTAAGACACAATGCTTTGTATCTGTTTATTTAACTTTTTAGAGATGCCCATTTGAAACTTATTCTATTGTCCTTGACATATTTAAAAATAAAATATTAATAATAACTAATATAGTACATAACAGGCGTCTCCAATTTGGAGGACAGATTTAGTCAAATTTGCTTTTACATTTCATGGATCTAAAACAACAACAACAAAAAAACCCAACATATACCATATTTAATTTGGCTTAAATAAAAACACTTTTAAAGACAAGATGACCTGTAACCAGTAGCCCAGCTAGGGTTAATGCAGACCTGTTTACCCTCGAACTCCCTCGAGACCCTCCTCCTCTGCTTACTAATCATTACGAAGGCGTTAATTTTTTAATTTTATAGACTTAAATATATGGGGGCTCCCACACACAAAAACTTTTACACAAAAATCTCCTAAATCCACACCAATCCATTTCCCTCTCAGAACAAACGTGTCTTTATAAATGGTCCCCAACCAACCAATCATATTTCTCAATCCATTCACTGCTGGATGTAGAATGCAAATTAAAACCAACAACCAAAAATATACTTTTTAATTATTTTTTTTTTTTAAATTGGAAAAAAATTACCGGAATGTATATATTTTCAACCCAGTCTCTTAAAATTATAGTTCTGACGGGTTTTGGGGTACATATAAAATGATAATAAGGGGAGAGACTGCAATCTTGTTAGCGTTCAATCGTAAAAGACGTCATATCCTACAGTGTACGCCAAAATTGTAACAGGTCTTTTATACTAACTAAGTAAACTGAACTACAGTACCGAAAACAAAAAGGATCGCCGATTCCATTAATGGAAACATTAAAATCATGCAATGTGAACATTGTCAGTGTAGCCGAATTCGAACGCCAGAGCGGTTTTGACAGTGGGACATCCATATATAACGTACCCGGTACGTAAAATAAAAATTAGAAAGTTTAAAATATTCACACCCCCTCCTCCACACCTTGTCAGCATAAAGGGCAACCCAAACATTACGTATACGCTGAGGATGCATATGACAGCTTTGATGGGGGCGGGTCTCTGAAAATCATAGTTTTGGCGGGTCTCTGCGTACAATCGTAAAAGATTTCTAAAAATCGTACATTGTACGCCAAAGTCGTAAGAGTAAACAGGTCTGATGCTACCCAGGACAGGGCAAGATTTATGTTTTTCCCCCCACCCTCCACGAAAAATGTCTGCTTGACTCTACAGTATGCAGAAAATGACACCCCTTATATTTATAAATAAGAGTTACTTGGGGCGGTTAGGGCGCACCGCCCCTTCCACCCCTCTTCCCACACCATCCTTTTGACCTTAACCATGATGTTTATAGTTCACATGCCCCTATATTCCCCAGCAATTCCCCTCCAATTAGCCCTCAATTTTTAAAAACCAACTCTTCCCCTACTCTCCGCCATATCCCCAAACTCATAATTTTCACCTTAAATTACTTTTATAAACTGTTCCTACTTTATTTATTTAACGTGTGCTTGTTACTAAGATTCCATAAATTTATCCATAAAAATATATCTGCACAAAAAAAAAATAATTTTTTTAAACAATCAAGAATAAATTTGAACATCAAATATATTAGGCTGTGATATATGTAAACGATTAATTTTATCATGAAATCAATATCATCAATGTTTAAAATTTGTACATACATAACGGAAGAAATAAAAGGCCTAGTATCTAAGAGTTCCTAAATAATAAATTTTTAGTTTACGCGCTTTAGATAATGAATTAAAATAGCTCAGTCTCCTGTAGAAAACTATATTGAGCAAATATTCAAATTTTCTTTAACTCTGCAGATATGTTGAATGAATAATCAGGAAGTTACAGATGGAAAGATAAGAAAGATCACAGATATAATTTTTATGATGAATTGAGTGGGATAAGTAATTTGGAGAACACTTGTCAATGCCAAAGTAAGTAAATAATTTTTACCTTGTCCTTCTACATTCACAGCGATACCTCTTTCGAGTTCAGCGATTCCTTTTTTGTAAAGTTCAACTGCAATATCCTTCCTGGCTAAAGAAATAATGAAAACTTTTTTTTTGTTTAAGAAAGTAGTTTAAACAACTGAAAAGATGAAGTGCCATGAGGGAAATTCGACGCATTTTTATTAAACTGATGTGATTTTTTTTTAAAGTATAATAGGGGAATTCCATGTTAAAGTGGAAATAACATCCAATAATGTAATTGCATAAAATTTGGTGCAAATTAAATTTAGTTCATCCATACGGATTCACAAACATTTGTTATTTCCTAACCAATCAAAAGACAGCATTTTTAGCCATGCTCTGTACTTTTATATTTATTACCTTTGACTGTGGTAATTTTGGCATATCAACATTAATGAATTTCTTTTTTTTCCATTTGAATCTTGTAAGTTAAAATTCATTTTAAAAATTGTAGAATGTAAAATTTCATTTAAATATATCTCATATAAACTTTATCGATTGTCAGGTTTAAGGTTATGATGAGGATAATGTTCTGACTCTGAGAAGAGCGGAAAAGTTAATGTCAAATAACGACGTACAAATAATTCATAATTATTATTAATTAAGTCTATTGTTGAGATTTTAAATTGTGCCGTCACTCTGTTCCTGGTGGACAACTCTTGTCAAAGCCTGCCCCGCTAAGTACACCTTTCCTTAAATAAATATATTTTATATTTATTTCAGACAAAATTCATGAAAAAATGCATAATTTATGCAATTCAAACCAAGTCAGAAAGTGTCCTTTTTAGACTTTCTATTTTTAAAGCCTTGAAATGTCTGCACCGAAATGTCGTCCTTTTCATCGGACAACCCTAGTGACTCAATTAGCCTAGTCCTAGTCTTGACTGTTTAAAAAGTGAATTAATTAGATTTAGAATGAGACTTAAAAAGGTATAGTAGTATTAAAATATAAGAGATACACCGAGATTTATATTGATATTTATTCAATAAATACATATTCCATTCATATTGTCATATAATATAGCCTGAACTAAAAATATAATTAATTTATTATACTATTACTAATTACTACTATACTTATACTACTATACTGAAAAGAGTTTGACATACCTCCATCCTCTTCATCAATTTTTAAAGCTTTAGAAATGAATTCAAAAGCCTTTCTGTGGTATTTTTTTTGATTGGCCAAAGCAGGTTCACCGGGACCAACTGGATTCTTTGCTTTACCATTACTAGACATAATCGGCGCCGCTTCTATTGCAGTGTTTTTAGTCGGCCAACGAGCAGAAATGGTTCGTCTGCTGTACTGGCTGACCAGGACAATTGCTAAGAAAAACTGATAAGCTAATGAACGAACAAAAATAAACACAACCAGTATTGGAGTAGCAAATAAACGAAGATTTCTATTATGTACAGATATGCTTCTCTTTACGATTTTCCCCTTAGCTTCTCCTTTCTTCTTCCATGGAGGACGTGGTCCCCCCGGTCCTTTGCGATGCATAATCTAAACCATCCGCCATGTTACATGGCATTGACTGTCGGGAAGGGAAATCTCGATCAATACAGTGGTCATTGCATTCATACTGGAGAATCCCGGTTGCTTTATTTAGCGACTGACGTCGTCTTGTGACTAATGGCTGGTCAACATATTATATTTTCAAGAGGTCTAATGAAAGTAATATTCGTAAATGTTGACTTACTTTCCAACCACAATCTTTGATTTAAAGATTCCGGTTTTTTTTAATACCCCCCCCCTCCGAATGTTCTGATTATTCCCTGATCCGTGATCCTATAAATAATCTTGCATTTTAGTCTTATGATTATGAATATGGCCTATGACTAGGATTTCTTTCAGTTACATCTCAGCCCCCCCCCTGGGGGAAACCCAGTCCCCCCCCCCCCCCGGAGCAAAAAATATGTCCAACAATAAATCAACTGGCACTGTCCCGTCCCCCCCCCCAACCCCCAGGTGAAAATTTCTGAAATAATCACTGCCTATGCATAGGCATAGGCCATTGCTACTACTACTAAAATTCAGACTAACGTTGACTTAAGTAGTCCTAGTAGAGCCTAGCCAAGGCCCAAGACCAAAGTCAAGGGTCAGGATTATTTTACAAATTCTTTGTGTGCACTGGATCAGTTTAACTGCAGAGAGACAATGGATTTCAAAACCATTTGAAAAATGATGTAGTACAATTATAAGCATCCTCCTTGTATTTTTTTACCCTTGCCAGTCAGAATCAGAGAATTTAATGACTGGTGATTGCAGTTGAAATGTTATTGAGATGATAATTTATTAATTAACAAAGGAAGGATTAAAATGAATCAAAGATTTTTAATTTATTTCAAACAAAATTTTACAAACATACTCATAACAAACATACTCATATAAGACAGACATACCAGTAGTTACATAAATAGAATTATTACTTATGTACAATTTAAACATAAGGAAAGCTCTCATAACTTGCTTGATGACTAATAATTACACTACAAGCACATCATTTTATTCAACAATTTTAAATTGTTTTATGTTATTAAAATAGTTTTGATATAATGACAAAGGTATACATTTAATGATTAGTAACTTGGATTGAAAATTAACGATTGATTATTTTCAATTAATATATTTTTAATAATTGAGTACTTTATCTGTAAGTTAGTTATAGTAGTTTGAAATTCAAAAAAACATTTCAAGGAACTGAATATTGAGAAATGTATGCTTTATATTTTTACGATCTCCCTCTAATATAAATCACACATTAATAAATATATTATATTGTCTTTTACACAAGTGCTTGAAAAAAAACATGCCACCTTACTCTGACGAGAAAAGGTTGTTGTTTTTTTTAATTGTGTTTTTTAAATAAATTGTTAAAAATTAACAAGAGATATCATTTAATAAATGGGAGTTAGTTTATTTACAATAGAATTCAATATCTACAAGTGGGAAACAGCTTTTATGAAAATATACAACATAAATGACTACAGAGTGTAAACACAACTAGTAGTAAAGATTTTTATATTTTAATTATTTTTTTTAAAGGAGAAAAGGCAGAACTTGTTTTCAAAACACCATTTTATTGCCTTACACTTACAGTAGGATTGAATGCCTGCCAAGGCTCAACTTAGAAATAGAAAACTATTAATTTAAGATGCCTACAGGTCAAACACATTTAAATTTAACAAGTATTCTGAGGAATTTCAACAAGCATGAAAGAGACCTACTGTTACAGTGGGGGCCTAGTTTATACCATTGAAAAAAACTGTAAATCTAATAATAATAAAGCATAGAGCTGGATATTTTTTAATGAAGAGGACAATGTCATGTGGTTACCGGTTGTCACTAAATAATGTTAAAATATATCATCTATGTACAAAAAACATTTTAAGTATGTAATAAGCATTGGGCAGTGCATGAATTTTCATAGAGAAAAAAACCACATGCATGATGTAAATATTTATGCTCCGTTATATAAAGTAACCAAATAATTCATTGTTCAAAAAACTTATTTAGTTAAATTATTAATTATAAAAAATTATTTACTTGTTTTAACTATTATGTCTTTTGTGTATGTTGTCTGCTGATTCATTGCTTTATTCTACTCTTATGATTATAGTTTATTTGGGTTCATTGAAACTTACCTGACTGTCAGCTTTTTTTCCAAGTTTCAATAAACAAATTTAAAAAAATTAAATTTTAACACCAGTACTACATTTCAAAATACATGCTGGCAATTAAAAAAAAAAGTCCTCCAAATACTCCACTCTTTGAAAATGGAGAATTCAAATTCTTGTAAGATTTTATACATATAAAAACTTTAGAGGATGTGTAAAGGTGAAAGAAGCATTATGCAACCTACTTTCTCAAAATCTTAGTCAAATACCTATTTACTTTATTAAATGTAAATATAACGAAAGAAAATAAAACAACTGCCTAAAAGTATAACAATTCTATTAAATAATTTGAGCATACTTAAATTATTAAATGCACATTACTGGAAAAAGACAGATCATTCATACAGGTCTTTCTTTTTTCTAAGATATACATACTCCATTTCATACAATAAATTTATTTTCTCCATTCGAGTAATTCAACAAATAAATTGTAAACAACTTTTCCATAACACTTTAAATACATACAACAAGCATGCTTTCTCTGGGATGATTAACAATATTAAGATAATAAGGAGCATTTTAAGTATAACAGTCATTTTTTTGTGTAAACATTTTTTAAACATCATTACAAATAAAAACAAGAGACCAAAACACATATGGCTGCCTACTTAAAAAACTTGAACAGCAAGAACATTCATCACAGCATGTAGGCAGTTATAGAAAATTAATAATTTGTTTCTCGCAACTGCAAGTTTTAGCACACAGTCCAATGTATCACATTTCACCCTAGAAGTTATGCAGAACATGAGGAATTTATACGAATTCCATTTGCTTGGCCTGGAAATTATTTTTAAAAAAACAAAAAATTGTACATACAAGAATTTCAAAGAGATTGTTTCATAAATGAATTTTTACATGAGCAAAACAAAGACAAATAATTGATCCTTTAAATTTGGTAATTATAATTTAAAAGATTTTTCCCTAAACCTTTGACTTTTAAAATAAATTCTTAACTCTTATACTTGATTTTAATACTAGACTCATGCAGAATGTTTCTAATTATTAATATCAAATTCAAATAGGAAACTTTCTTGAAAAATAAATTTATATCTTGCTTGCAAACTATTATTTTTTAAATTTAAATAAATATTTTTAGTAAATATAAAAATGCCACCCCTTTTCCATACAATACATACATATATATATATTTGCAATTCAGTTTGGAATTCTACTTAGTACTATAAATGTAGAACTAAAAAATCAATCAAAATTTAAATCCATTGCTTTTTCATTTATTTTTTTTATAATGAGACTTGTGAAACATTTTATACCAGAAACAACAACACACAACCTCTAATAAAAATTTTGAGCACTTTTAAACTTCCAAATTGTTTGAAATTAGCAAAAATGAATATGAAATTTTGAAGGGAAAAAAAAATAATAATAATTTTATGTTTTATCCATCAGCTTCACCATGCTCTACTGTAGTTGATGGAAGACCTTTTTCTATAATCTCTGCTAGTTCAAACACTTTCATGGTTGGTAAATTTTCTACAATAGCACCTTGCAGATCTATTTCCATTGAGGCCAAATTAGCATTTTCTGGTTTACCAGGTGTCTCCATCTCTTTAACCAAATTCTTTTCTGAATTTGTGGCATTATTTCCACCATTTTCTAAATGATGAATTTGTTTTTGGGCTATGTAACGATGCTGGAAAGTTGATGATTGGGGATATTTATTTACTTGTCGGTGAGTCTCCTCATCTGCTGGTTCCTGCTTAACAAGAGCAGGTGGTTTATCCATACCAAACATGAGATTGTATGACTCTGATTGGTCATCTTCATTGCCCACTTCCCAAGCAGAGGCACTTGATGTTTGTTTGTGAGGGATCAACATTCTGCGAAGAGGAGGGATGGTTGAAGGTGAGGAGGTAGGAGTTGGACTGAATCTCTCTGAAGAAGGATTTTTAGAAGTATTTGGGGTATGAACATCACAAGCACTGTATGAAGTTCTGACAGTTTGCTGCCTTGATTCAGATCCCACTATGCCATGATCTGAGACAGTCTGATTTACTCCTCTTGATCTATCAGCCATGGTCTCATTAATAGACTTGAAGTTTTCTTTTGTGTTGGCTAATCTTTTCTCAGCAATCAAGTCACGGCGGATCACCTGTTCTGATGTCCCATTTTGAACCACTGTGGTTTGTGTGTCATTATTGTCAACTTCATTAGTTATACTTTCACCATTGACTATTATAGAAGAACCTGCTGCTTCTTCATCAGATAACTCATGAATTTCCACCTGCTCCCCCCCATCAATAGCTACTTGCTCAGTAAACCCAGCACCGTTAGTGGTGTAGATTAATACTGTGGTATTTGGTGGCACAGCATCTGAGTAACCAGTAGCAACTACCTGCATGTCTTGAGAATGAGGCTGGTAGGGGGATCGTTTACCTCTGACACTTTTCATACCTTGTAAAAGAGAGTTTGAATCAATTGAATACTGCTGAACATACTGCTGCCCACTGTTCAAGTTATTATTAAGGTTTTTGCTAGCATCCATGTCAAGTAGATAAGATGATTCTCCAGTATGTGGGTCCTGATGACGGATCAGTACAGAATGTTCTCCAGTGTAATTCTGAGGTGTCTCTATAATATAGTGGCTGCCTTCCTCCTGAGATTCCCCTGGTGTGTCTAAATAAATTTGTTCTGAAATGAGAAACGGTATTTCTATTTTTAACAACTGTAAGTTTTGAAAAAATTATACTTGGTTAAAAAATTTGTAAGTAAAAAAATATTTATAAGGGTTATGAAGAAAAAAGATATAAATAACTACCGGAACAGTAAAAATCTTTAAACATGAAGAGCGAGTTTAAAAGAATGTATTATGTCCCAACAAAATGTTTTTTGATTGCAGACATTTATTTCATTTATACATAAAAATGAAATTTAAAAGAAAAAAGTTACAGATAGCATAGAAATTACTCTGCTAATATCATTAAATTACAACATCTGTGAGTATGAAGATTGTTACAACTATGATTTGTGTCTGCACAATGTTAAAAAAACAGAAAACTAAAACTTTGAGCTACCTTGACCTTGTCGAGCTGTAAGTTTAGACTTTAGGTTTGCTTTTATTGCCTCAGTGTTCCCATCATTTTCTGAGGGCTCCAGTAATACTGAAAACACAAAAGGTAATTAAAAACACATTTCCACACAATGAAATCCAAATGAGTCTTTAGCCCATTAACAATGAAGATTTGAAATGAAAAATGAAATGTAGAATTGTACAGCTAAGGGAATTAAAAAATTATTTTAACCTCTTAGTAACTCTTAGATAAATTTTTTGTATAGTTTGGATGGAAGGACTTGCTAATTTTCCATTACCAGAATAACATATGAACTTTAAAATATCTTATTATTAAGAATGACTAGGAAAAGAAATTGAAATAAAAGCTGAAACAATTTGCTAGGAATAAATTCTGACTTAATATAATTTGTGATCTATTAACTGATGTTATATTTTAAATGATCACTACAATAATCCATTAGTCTCAATTCTTTTTAATTAAAAACTTACATCTTTTTTTAGGTTTTATATCCTGCTCTGTATAATATTTATTTCCATTATAATGTGGATCACTCTCAATCACAATGCCTGTTGAAGATTAAGGAATATACATATATATATTTTTAAAATTTACCAGGTTTATTTGGGAAACTGCAGCGTAACTGTTAATATTACACTTATTTTATTTTTTTTGCATAAACAGCTGGTCTTTATCCCCACACTAAGTTTATCAATTTTGGTGGCTGAGGTACTTAACAACCTCCAAACAGCTCTTTTACTTAGCTGAGAAGTCTGTACTAACTGGTCATAGTTGATATTTATAGTAATTTCCTTTTGCTATCATAGTTTAGAAATGAGTTTGCATACGAACTGCTAAATGCATAGTTCTGTGGCATCAAAACTTATTTTCATATGTTCCACTAAATTCCGCTATATAAGTATTAAATCAATCAATAAATTACATAAAACACATAGAACATGAATTCAGTGGCCGATATAAGCATACACTATACATTTTCTGAAAGTATGTTGGTCTCATATGATACAACACTGGAAATAATGTGGATTACATGAGGCAACCTTGGCCTTAAAAATGTTTTTAATTGTACACGTCTTTTGCTTTTAAATCACACTGATTAAGTATTCTTTTAGACACAGAATGTTATATTTGTGTATAAAGTATATAGTTAAAAGAGTTTTGGAAATGTTTAGTCTTGGTGAGCTAAAATGTTTTTAATTATAATAAAGATTAAAAAATAATAGTCAATGCTCCCTCACTTTCAGTTGTCTGGTTCTAATGTCCTAACTAGTCCCACCCCCCTCTCTAATGATGCTTCCATAATAAGTAAACAAATCTACTTCATCAAGTGGTATTTATCCTATCATTTAGAGACTGCATTAATTTGGAAGATTTTGTAATAATTCTAATAATTTAGGCTTAGATTTTGAAGGGTTTGCATCAGTGCACAACTTTATTGCTATATCATAAATTTGAAGAAAAAAAACAATATGTTGCACACCATTAACAATTATGTAATCATCAAAGTTTATTACTATTAGTTACCGGTATTTTTAAATATGTGCAAGTAAAATTTAATTAATGAGAATTATCCCCACTTAGCAAACTGAAAACAATTTGATCTATATAATTTACTTTCTCAATTTCAGAAGCATTCTTAGCAGATCATCTCCCATCATAACAGTTTAAAGGGTTAAAATGAGAACATGCTGATTAAACAATACTTCACACCATATATTTTGTTAATAGAATACAATACTGCAGCTATACAAAATTACAAAAACACACCTCCATGAGGACCATAAAAGAATTTGTATTCACAAAACTGATTACTCTGTGGACATTCAAGATGAAGAGTAGCTTCCATTTGATGAGCCAAACTTGGATTTGGCGCAAATGGAGGTACCTCATAAGTTATTACTCTTTTGTACAATATTTCCTCCTTCATTGGCTGATGCTTGTCAGATACCCAACCCTCTTCACCATCAATATCTGACTTGCAGCTAACATAGACTATATATTTATCTGTAATAAACATAATACAAAATGTTTAGAAAATTTATTGATTCTTTGTAATGCAGTGGCTAAACTAAACCTCAAGTGTATATGGTAAATTATCGGGTACAGTATTTAAACTTTTTGAAATGGGATACTTAAGGGTTTATAAGCTGAGAAGACGGAGTTGTTAAATTTAATTAAAAACTGTATTCCATCTAGTAAATCATAACTTAACAAGATAGCGCCCTCGCACTTTTTTTACATAACTATTCTTCCTAGCTTAACACTTTCAGATGAAAACACAACATACACTATGCTATAGTGTTTCATATAGGAAAGACAATATTTTAGGAGAAAAAAATTTCGGTTGAGCTATTTTAATATTAGCCTTTAAGAAATATTTACCAGGTTCAATAGCTGGACCATCTTCAGTAGTAAATATATCAATATATCCACCATATCCTTGCACCATATCCTGACTCAGCTTTAAAATTTTTAGTGATGTTTTTTCACCTAAATTAGCAAAAAATAATGCAATATCTATTAGGATGGTTTAAGAAAGTTGATTTCATATAAAAATGTTCCTTTTACCTATACCCTCAGAATTTCTTTAACTGCATTTTCAGAACATCATTATTGACCAAGAGATTAAAAAATTTTAATAATAAAAAGAAATGCATGAAACAGTACATAGCTAAAAATTATAAAAATAACATTTAACACTCACTGGCATTTCTAACTACATGACTAATGGCATGTAATGATCCATTGAAAGGTCCTTGATGGCTCTGGACAGTGACGATCACACCCAAACACACTTTTGTTGTGTCAAACTTTCGAGAAGAGGTATATTTGTCTGTGCACTGTGATAAGCATCGTTCTTTGAGGAGATAAAATAATAATAATAACAAAGAACAAGACAAAATAATAAATTATGTTTTTATTTAGTTGTTTTGATGTAGCTATGCAATAAAAAAAATGTGAGAGTTAAAACATACATTACCTCTATATGGTGATGGCAGATGACTGGCCCTTTCACTTAAAACGGACTGAATCTTTGAATATTCATTCTTTTTAGTTTTAATCCTTTCTGTTCGCAAATAAGGGATTCTTAAAGGAATACAAATAGTTTAAGTTAAAAATTATTCATTAATTAAAAATTAAATCAAGAAAGGAATTGGTAGGTTATTTTAATATTTTCTGTGCTATTATATGTAGTTAAAAAAAGGGAGGATCCAAAAATATATAAGGCTTAATTCAACCAATAAACAAGACCTTTTCTTACTTGATAAGATATAAGGGCTTAGTAACAGCATATTCCTTATCATAAATTCCATCATGACAGTCTTTTCCAACAAGTCCATTTGGATGGATTAGTTCTCGATTATCAGCATCAGTACAAATTATAACAACACGGACTACTTTATCTGAGAGGTTACATAGCTGTAGAAACATGAAACAAAATATTTTTTAAAATAAAATGTAATGCATTCTAACTATTGAAAGTTGTAAAATGCATAATAATTTAAGTTGGCTTATTGAGGGCGCCTGAGGAAGGAATTTTTATTTCAAGTAAAACTATGGCTGGTAAAAGTTATGTTCAAATTTTGACATGGCAATAACATGATGCAAGACTGGCCATCTATTTAAAACATACACATTAAGGAAAAAAGTAAGGTACCTTCAATGTCATGAATTCTTTTTCCTGATACTTTTTTCCTGGTCGATTTTCGCCACTATACCGAAACTTTTGATAGCTTATGCACTGAGTGATTTCCACTGAAGGTTTTAGAGCAGGAGATTGGAAAGGATTGTTATGAGCTGCAAGTTAAAAGAATTACTTATTCAGTTATATTTTTTATAACAAAAGTTTTCACCAAAGAAGTATTTTTTTCAAATAAAAAAAATTACAAACATAAAATAAATTTTCAAATAACCATTTCTGTACCATATATCATATGGAATATAATTTTGAAAAAATTTTAAAAAATTTAAATTATAATCACTTCTTTTCTAAATTAAATTTTAAAAATTTTATTACCATCTGTCATACTAAGAACATCATCATTAGGGTACTCTTTTTTCACAATTTTAGCTTTTGGTGCCATGCTACGCCCTATTTGTTTTCCCTGGAAAAAACAAAACAATTCAGACCTTATTAATAAAATTATTGTATTTTACTAATAAGTATTATCTATAAGACTTATAGAGAAAAAAATAAACAAGTTAATTGCACTATAGCCACATTAAAAATAAGTACAGAACTTTCCCCTAAAAAAAATAATTAGATAATATAACTATGATATGTATACTTATTAATGGAGATTAGGCTTCAATATAAAAAGTTACTAATGACATTATATGATGTCTATTCAGGGATGTATATTTGGAGCTGCTTTGGAAAATCTGAGATTTGGGATTCTTGAAAATTACTTAAACTTTTGTTATTTTATTCATTTTTATTAATGAACAATTTCATCATGATGTATGAGAAATACTGATTCCCATGATTTAAAAATTAAAACACTTAGAAAATAAAAAGGTTCTTATCCCCACCCAAATGCATATTTTAACTTATCTTTCAAAAGAGATACATCTGATTACAGAAAACATATATAAACAGAATTAATTTCCTCAGATAAATTTGTTCTGTGACCAACAACCCCCCCCCCCCCAAACACAAACACAAAAAAGCCCCTGATTCGGTGCCTTTTTTCCTTGCCCATTTTCCTTTTCCTCCGATAAATTTGTTCTGTGACCACCAACCCCCCCCCCCCCACACACACACAAAAAAGCTCCTGATTTGGCGCCTTTGTTCCTTGCCCATTTTCCCAAAAATCTAGGGCACATGCAAACCATTGAAATCTCAAGGCGCTGGCTGGAGGGTTCACAAATGTTTGGAGTGTTTTGAATTTTGAAAGGTGTTGCTGCAAAATTACAATGTCCATGGAGATTGTCTGTGACAATGAGTAATGATAATAATGTTTAAATAAATAAGATTCATTTAAAAAATTTATTTAATCATCTCAATATTTCCTTTGAATAAGAAGATGGTTTAGACAAGTGATTCTCAAAGTAGGTGATTGTTGTTGTCCATTCGAGGAGTTAAAAAAGAAAAGTGACAACAACCTTAGCATTTATATTCTATTACTATTTTTTATTGTTTTAACTTAACAAAATTTGATTCATTAAAAAAAATTAATGTAACCATCATGATAATTATAGTAAAAGGAGAAAAATATGGTTTACTAATCCTAAAAAAGCAAAGGCAAAATGAATTAAAATGGTTTAATTGATAAAACAGATTGTAATTTAATTAATAAATTAATTCTAAGAGTAAGAGTAAGAGAGTGCGGTGAGTGAATAATTTAAAATAACATTTTAGAAATTGTTATTTGAATTTTGATAAATTCGCGATTATTTTTTGGACAATTTAGTTTTTTTTATTTATTTGTTTAGCCGCAGTTAAGCGTGATTCGATTTAAATTAATTATTTGACTTACGTAATTTTAAGAAAGATTAGTTCCTATTACAGCTCTATTTATTGCATTGCCAAAAGTATATTACAATTAATTTTCAATAATTAAACCACTCACTAGCAATTAAAAATACACTCTGTAAGTTTCAAACCATTGTTATGAACTCACATAAACAAATACATAAGTACAAATAAAAGTAAGTAACTCCAATTTCCAACGGCAACGCCCGATCCGCCATTGACTGACGGGGCATTCCGAGTTCCTTCTGGTTATTGCTGCCACTTATTATGCCCTTGACGATGAAAATCTTACCCGTATTCGCTTCATCTTTCAAATTTGTATTCACAAAAAGCACAGTCTGTTGCGTCAAAGTCAGTACAATTTAATGATAACAAGTTTTTATGGTGTATCAAGTTGTGAAAATGAATATATATAACTGATCGTATTCTCTAAGATCACATCAGACCAAAATGGCTGGGGCTCGGGTTTTTCCTCAAGAATGCATCTAAAATTAGCAAACATCAAATTCCCGTCAGGCTGTGGAAGGTGAACTATTTCCGCAAAAATTTCATTGGCTAGTGACCAAGTTGAAGGGGGAAAACCCAAAAGTTTGACGTTTGTTTCTGCCACAGCAAACACGATCATCCCACCCCATTCAGGGAAACTCACGAGTGCTTCTTTATTACATTATGTACCGATTCTTTAAGGCGAGCCTTATTTAATGAGAATGATGGGGGTTCTATCTGTATCCAATGGCATAAAGAAGGAAGGTCCACCCTGGGCGGCACTTTTGAGGTGCCATTTTCGGCCTGTTGCAATTTCACGGATAAGTCCTTTAGGACGGAATTTAACTGACAGTTCAGGAGGCTGGAAAACGCCTCGAATTTATTTTATTTTTTTACTATTGAATTAATGTTACTTTGAAAATAACCATCGCACTAGCCCTGCATCAACAGATCCCCGAGGGCGCCGCTGATATTTAAGGGGCCCATATCGGTGTGCTGCTTACCAAGCAACAACCGATTCGGTACTTTTCGGATTTCTTGGGATTTAAAAAATAATAATAAAGGTTTACCCGAACCAGCTCCATGACACCGTTTAAGGGGCCCAAAATTGTAATGTGAATAAAATAAAAATAAATAATTTTAAATTTCATTGAATAATAAATAACGAACCCAATAGTGACAGGGGAGCTTACATAGGACTCAAAGGTCACGGCAGTCACGCGATGGCTCTGGAAAAGTGGTTCTCCAAATTCTATTTTACACCTGTTATTGGGAACACATTAAAAAAAAATAATAATGGAATGAAAATAAGAAGAAACGTCATTTAGCAAATGAAGGTTTCAATGAAAAAAAAATGAGCCTGGTGTACGAGTGGGCTGGTTATATTAAGGATTTTCTCATTTCGGCTGAAACCAAACCGAACGTTTATAAATTATAAACGAGACTTGCGGCCGAAATCGAAAAATGTAGATATTTCGAAACTGCATACGTCGAAAATGGAAGGGGGGAAAGTATCGATCTTTATACAATTTTTATTTTTTTTAAATTATAGGCCTATTATCGCGAATTTTAATAGATACACATTTAATGAATGCACTGGCCTTTGCCATTTGAATTTTAAAAAAATAATTAAAGTTATTAAAATGTATTTTATAGCAGTGTGAAGAGAAAACGTTAAGGGCTGTCCATTAATTACGTCAACAATTTTGGACCAAGACATCCAGCGCCGCCATTCGCACCCGGGTACCATTAGACTCAAGCTATTCGGATGTCATTTATGGTAGTTTATTTTAGTTAAACCGAAGAAGTAAGTTTACAAACATATAGCCCGTTCAATTATCTTTCATTTGATACCTCATTTTGTCCTACAAACCCAACAATAAAATTTAAATACTTTTTTTTTTAATCCCAAACTCTCACTTCTAGTACCTGGGTACGAATAGTCGCAGCCCTTATCGTTTATCGGCTAATCGTATATTTGAGCCATATTATTAACAAGAGTAGAAAGATCGTTTAGCTACGTTTAGTAAATACATACAGTAGGACTACTATGAATATTATACTGTATCATGTGAAAGAGTGACACACGCCCTAGTATGTGATGAAGGATGATTTAAATTAAAGGCTATTGTCACTATTGAAATAAATTATTATATTTTTCGTTAATACTACTAAATTTAGGTTTCGTTATTTTCTTCCTTTACATCTGTGTCCAATATTTTAACATTATTTTGTCAACGACAACATTAATCAGCATGATATTGATGAATTTCAATAAATGAATGAATTGAATAAACCTAAGATTCCCTAATTTTTTAAATTTTATTTCAGATGTCATTGATTTGGGTTCATGTAGTGCGTACTGCGTCCTACACAAACATGCTGCTATGTTTCAGGTTACTGTAAAAATGTTTTGTGGCAAAAAAAAAAAATAACAATAAGTAAGGGAATGGTAATATTAATATGTTTGTTTTAATTTTACCTAAAATAAAATTTGAGAACCCTAGGTTTATTCAATTCACTCCATTTGTGACATTCTTTTTTGATTTATCATTATCATCATAAATGTTATTATAGGCAAAGGAGATTAGATCTAGTATTGAACGGAAAAAATAAAATCCAGGGAATGGGAAAATTTACATTATTAGATCTATTTTTGTTTTAAGGCATGGACACACGGGGCACTTCCCCAGGGCCTCACGCCTCTAGGGTGCCTCACGCCTTTAGGGAGCGTCATATTTTTTGACAATTTATTTTGTTGTCAAAGTGCAGCGGGAAGACCGATTCTCCTTTTAAAAAATATATATATATATAAATATATTCAATATCGATATTCAATTCAATTTTTTTTCGGTACTTTTTTTAGACGAAGTTTCTTATCGATAAATTTTCAATTAAAAAAAAAAAAAAAAACTCGGGGATACAAAAATTGGGGGAGGGGTGGAGTGATTACAAAATCAAATGGTGTTACAAAATGCGCCATAATTGCATTATTGGGTCATTAAAATGAACAAAGTTACAGTAGTTAAACATTTCAAATAAAACGTTTAAGTTGCTGCATTTATTTGGACATCGAAACGGGTTCGATTTTCCCTCAGATAAATCATGCGTCAGTAAACATCCGACGCCTTGTGTCAGTATTTCTTTCCTTACTTTTTTTTTTTTTTTTTTTTTTTTTTTTATTTAAATTTTTAAATCCAATTTATTTTTTATTGACCTGTTTCATAACAAAGTTACAGTAGTTAAACATTTCAAATAAAACGTTTAAGTTGCTGCATTTATTTGGATATCGAAACGGGTTCGATTTTCCCTCAGATAAATCATGCGTCAGTAAACATCCGACGCCTTGTGTCAGTATTTCTTTCCTTACTTTTTTTTTTTTTTTTTTTTTTTGTAGTACTTAAATTCTTAAATACAATTTAATTTTTAATGACCTGTTTCAAATAGCCATACAAAAATCTATAGACCTTTTCTACAAACAGTGCGAACTTTTCTCACTAAAACCCCATCCTTAAACCTGACCGCCAGTTTCGTTCAGCGCCCTCGATCTCATCACTCGGCCCAATGAAATAGACTGTACAGACATATTACAATCTAAAATAACGCGTTGGATATGGAGTAATTACAATGATTTTTTTATTTTTTTTTAACTGACAAAATTATAATTTTCCTTTAGCTTGGTATACGTAGTCGGACTATATATTAGTCCAGGGGGGGGGGGGTTAAGCTGGGGCTAAAAGCATACTCTCAGTGGGGTCCACTGCCAGAATGAATGTATGATTATGCATGGCTGGAGGTGACGAGGTCAGAGCTGTGTTGGGCGTCAAAAAATGCCTAATTTTGGTGCGGATAGTTGCCCGGCGACCCCCCTCTCCCCCCCCCCAAACGCCTGACATACCACCCCACACTTCCCCGCGGATAACAAAGCGCATGAGCCAACCTGGACCATAACGCTTTTCATAGCATTACTTAAGAGAAGTCGGCGGCAGAGTGAGTCGTGCCAAGGAAAAGCGACGCCCAGGGGGGTGGGGTGGGGGGTTGTGGGGGGGGGGGCAAGTAAGACGGCACTGACTCAAATTCCTTTCCAAAGTTTCAATAACAATAACCGAAAGCCAGAAGTCACACTTATCGCATAGGACACGGCACAGGCTGCGCAGATAGTCTCACTCTGTTTCACACAGGTGCAGCAGCAGCAATGCCTACAGTTTATCGAGGAATGTTCTGCACGATGGCGCTGAACCTATTCATTGATTGCGCTGGCCTTTGCGGAGAAATAAGATAAGACTAATGGAAATGCGGCAAGCTACAGGAATACCTCTAGTGTTGGCAGCATGCTGGAAACACTAGGCTGGTCACCATTGGAGAAACGACGACGACAATCCAGGCTCTCCATGATGTACAAGATAAATAATGGGCTGGTCCACTGTTCCAGTATTAAACAGAAACTCGTCCCTCTCCCCCATAGACAGCGACGAGGCCATGACAGGCAATTCAGGCTCATACCAGCAAGAAGCCAGTATAGGAACTGCTCATTCCTGCCCAAGACAATCAGGGACTGGAACAAGCTTTCAAAAGGAACGGTTGAGGCGACAACACTAGACACATTTGTGTCTATTGCCTCAAGCCTTCAAACCCCTAGTGCATAATTTCCTCATCACCACCAGTAACAGAAACATGGCAAATCCCATCTACATGCATAGGAGCCAAAATGATCAATAAATTGATCGTGGGCCCTTAAGATA